CACATAAAATTTTCAGATCCGGTCGGCAACAGACCATAGATCCGATCAAACGATAACATCATAAAACATCACGATCATTTAACACATAAAGCAATTTTAGGCATCTGCCCTAAATGAGCTAGTGCTCGTGTCTATTTAGGTGTACTTTCCTAAAATATATTAGACACACTCCTCACGATCATCGCTTAGCATTCTAAGTTTAAGTCTAGAAATAAATCCTTATTCCTAGTTCGCTTAAACTAATGCTCTGATACCAACTGTGACATCCCCATTTTCACGGCCAGAAAAGACCGATTTTGTTTATGCTTTATAAAAATCAGAGTACCTCTTTTAGTGAAAATGTTGCGGAATTTGTTCCCAGTAAAACATGATAAATACGTTATCAAAGCATTTCCGAAGAAATGTATTTTTATTCATTTTAAAACATTTGGGATGTCATCGTCAATACAGAAACATAAGCATAAACAGAACTTACATTCATTTACACTAGTGATCTACATCTCTTTAATCTCTCAGTGTAATGTAACTTCGTATCAACACCTGTGATACAAATAAGCTTGAGTGGGTCAGGTTGGGAAACCCCGGTGAGTACATAGGGATTTCAATCCCACAATGTTATATCATATATATAATTTAGAACTCACAAAATATACAATTTATCTATATATATATATATATATATATATATATATATATAATATATATATATATATATATATATATAAAAGCAACTCTTACCCCACCACTTTAATCCTTACAACGAGACTATCCATACTCTCGGACCTTAAATTTTACCTCTTACTTAACCCATACTCTCGGATCTAATTCATGCTCTCGGATCAATAATTGTTCCCATTCCATACTCTCGGATTAGGGACAAGTGTCTATGTGTAAATCCATTCTCCCGGATTAACCACGAATAACTATGTCCAATCCATACTCTCGGACTAGGGACAATGACTATGTCTAATCCATGCTCCCGGATCAATGACATATACTAATGTTCTATTCTCTGAGTATAACTCACTCGTACTCGTAAGAAAATACTACCCAATATTCCCCATAATTAATTTAGGTTTACTCTTTATCCTAAATCATCATATATATAATCAGGTATGTTCTTTAACACGTACTTCAGGCAACATCAAATAACTCGCACATAAACATATATTTAATATTTCAATCAATACTTGTATTAAAATCATGTTCATGAAAGGGACTATGCACTCACTTGAAAATGTGGTGACTCGGTACTCGGACAGCACTTCGTTATCTCAAAACAATTTTCCCTTTTGCAAAACCTAGTATCAATACCACTAGGGTTTAGTCTAACGTTAACCGCGACTAATTAATAGCCTAGCTATTATTACTATTATATAAGCGTTAAACAACACTCTTATATAACTCATAATAATAGCCCAAATAATTATTTTAAGGTCCTAATAATGTTACTATAATTATTTAAAAGCTATATTAAAAATTGCATAGACGTAGCTCACTTATAGCGGGTTTTATAGAAAACCGGGCTTCGCTTGGAGCAGCGTTTCCGAACCGAAAGACCCTTTTTCTTGGGACTCCAGGAGCCTCGGGGCTTCCTTCGGTGCTAGGGGGTTCCCGAGGGTTTAGGGGGGTTGGAATGGGTTAGAGAGAGAAAGAAGTTAGAGAGAGAAGAGGTTTTGGGGTGTGGAAACCGGCTGCCCTCGCACCTCTATTTATAGGTGCTGAGCTGCTGGGAACGCAACGCGTTCCCCAAACGAACGCAGCGCGTTCCGGTGGGTACGTGTCCGAACTCTACTGGGGCGACGTGGCTGATCCGAGGCCAAGTGTTGCGAGAACGCGGGGCGTTCCTTCACAGATCACCCTCTCGACTTCTAAAATTCATAACTTTCACATACGAGCTTCGTTTTCGACGTTCTTTATATCCACGCGTAGGTGGAGACGTAATATACAACTTTCGTTTAGACTCCGTCGGCTAATTTTGACTTTATTTTTAAAGTTATATTTTTAACACGCCGGGACTGGAATAGCCTGTTAAAAATTCATAACTTCTTCATCCGACATCCGTTTTCGTCTGTCTTTTTATCGTTACGCTACTAATAATGAGATCTTCAATGCTCATTTAGGTTGTGTCGGCTAAAAATCGCTCAATCTAATATTCGAACTCCGGGCTGTACACTGCTAAGCTGAAACTTCGAAAAATCATAACTTCGTCATATGAAGTTAGATTTGGGCGTTCTTTTTATGAACGCTCTCGGTTTAACATATTCTACGACTTTCGTTTAGATCGCTAAGGCTAAAAATCGCTCTATCGTAAATTCACTATTTACCCTTCCCGGTGCCGTGCCGGTTTTGCCGTAAAACTTCGACGGGCTATAACTTCTTCGTTATAACTCGGATTTCGGCGTTCTTTATATGTACGGAACCCTTGTAACATATACTAAAACTTGGTTAAGATTAATCCTTCTAAATAATCTTCCATAAAAAACTCATTTTTGACGCTCATTGTCTCTAAATTGACTAGCCTGAATATGCGGGCGTTACAACAATGCTTTGATATATGAAATGTTTTGAAAAGAAAGTGTTAAATGTTTTTGGAAAGAATGTTTTGAAAGAACGCCTTGAAGGCAAGAATGTTTTTTGAAAGAAAAGAAAGTTTTGGAAGAACGAATTTTTTTGTTAACGTGTTTGAAATGTTTTGAAATATAGATGCTTTACTTTTGAAATGAGTATTTTGATACTACTGTCTACTGTATGAATTATGTAAATCATGGAAAGTAATGAAAAGAATGGAAATAAATGGAAAGTAATGAATATAATGGAAAGAATTGGAAAGTAATGGAAATAATATATTGCTCGAGGCATGATGTCCCCATAACGGAATATAGATGAATCTATCGGGATGACGCCTCCCCTTCGTGAGATAGATGTCCTAATGGAAATGATGCCTTGGTGGAATGATTTTGTTCTTTTCATCTTGGTATAGACTTGAGGATATTTCTAGGCACTAAGTATAAAAATGGCAATGGTTCACACCATAATTATCCCTTCATGAAAGAAGGAATGGAATGTGAAAAGAAATGACTTTTGAATTATGTTATGACTAATGAAAAGTTTTGATATGGAATGGAATGTGGAAACATGTGTAGTTGAAATATGTTTTACAAAGATGAAATGTTTTTGATGAAAATGTGATAAATGTTTTGTGTCACAAACCTGCATAACTCACAAGACATTATTGTCTTACATATCTCTTTTTAATGCCATGTATCACATGTTATATTCAAGGAGAAAGATGATAGATGGAAGTAGAAGTTATGAGATAGAGAATGGAGTGGAACTTGTTAGGTTCCTTATGTATTTTATTGATGTAATTCTTATTTGCTTGCTATGGATTGTATGATGCTTAATGGTATCACCCAATGTTTTAATCATAAATGTTTTGTGAGACCGGTTTTTATTAGATGTGGGTTAATACCCGTAATGATTTTGTTAAAACCATAACATTTTAAAGTATGAAAAAGTTTGAAAAATTTGGGGTGTTACAGAGCATGTTTCGATTAACTAATTTGGTAAAAGAAGATTGTTAGAACTTATTAATGATTTTCAGTACCAGTTAGGACAATGCACAATTTAAACAATCAAGTTGAAGGTTATTTGCATGATTAGGAGAGTCACTGCGGAACTAGAATTGCTTTAGTTGAATCGAATTTTCATATGTTATTAGTTACATTCTTATAATTTCTTGTTTATTATTAATTTTAATCATCAACAACCCTCATTTAATTTACTGTCAGACATAGACCTTATGACGTGTCCCTGTGGATTCGACCCTGCTTTCATGCACCACCCCTTAGGGAAATTGAGCAATATTTTTATATGTATTTATTATTTGTTAGGTGCTTACGACAACGTCTTAACAGTCATCAAGAAAACTAGAACTACAACAAATGGGGATTGTGTAAGTGTAACACACCATTTCAATTTTCGAGATAAAAGATATAAACCATTGTTTATAAAAATGAAAGTGAAAATACATTACATTTTAGCCAAAATGATCAATATGAAAGTTATAGCAGTCGTTAAAACGAACGCGTCGATATAAATAATGTTGAAAACAAAGTTCGTATGAGAAAGTTACGATTTTTTGAAGTTCTGACGAATTCCAGAAGCGTTGGGTGCATATCAAAAGCATGGGGCGCCTTTAAAGGCCCGACACACCTCATTTAATGCACCTGTCATATGCATTCGAGGTTGCATACACGAAAACCAAGGCTTGCGTGCAAGCAAGAAGACTTGACTCGTCAGAGGGATTAGCGCGTCCTATCAAAAAGCACAACACACTTTTCCATATTCCATCCTATAAATAGAGGCTCACGACTCTTCCATTCCTTTCCTTATTCTCTTTGAAAAAGAGTCTCTATCTCTCTTTCTCTCTCTCTCACCCTCGAGCATTTCTTTCCCTTATGTTTCGACTTCTCGTTCTGTAATATCGTTAACGAAGATCTGAAGGTTTTGAGAGAATATAAGAAAGTAAGCGTCGAAGTCTTGCTCGTGGATATTCAGATTTCGTTAATCATGTTAGTTACACTTTCACTTAAGTATAACTTGATATGGAATATACCCATTATCGTTATTATAAACATGTGTATTAGATTTTGTCGGGGCTGTGGCCTCTTTCCCAAAAAAAAAATACATATGTATTAGATTAATCATTAATCCTAGTTATTATACTGATTAATCTACTTATGGATGCAATGTCTAAGATAAACACGTTCGTCTGGTTGTTGGATTTCAGAAAAATTATATACCGAAATAATCTTGTCTCTCAAACTGTCTTTACTAGATAATCATTATTTGATATTCTACCAATATACAAAACATAATCCCGAGTATTTCTGCAAAAGTTTAACACAAGCAAGCTACTCACGTGAGGAAAGGGTCCAAACTCCAAAGGTCCAATCCGTGATCTCGGCGCCAGCAAAAAGCAACCCTGCCTATCACGCAACGACACATAACACCAAGTGGACACTCGATAAGCCTTTCGTCGAACATGTGGCAGACATTAGATTTTCAAATCCCAACTCTCCCGTCACCGTCGATCTCCGCCCCTCCCTCCATTTCTCTCCACCATTTCCTCCACACTCCACACTCCTCCAAACCTTACAGGAGCAATGGCGATGGCCGCCGGACTAGGAACCTCCTTTTGTTCTATTCCGTCACTCCACCGACTCACCACCGCTACCACCAATGCCGACTCTTTCTCTTTTCTCAAATTATCTTCTCCGTCGTCCTCACTACTCTTCTCCACTAGACTACCTCCAACCAATCGACAGGACTATTCTGTAATAAAAGCTTCTTCTTCTACAACATTCACCGAGTCTCAAGATCTGAAGGTATAGATAATTAGCTATGTAAGTATATGTGCCATGTAATTCAGGCGTACTCTATGTTTTGTTTTTCTTAATTTTGTATCAACAGATTAATACAATTACTACGAAGCCGATCGAAGGTCAGAAAACTGGAACCAGTGGTCTTCGGAAGAAGGTCGAATTCTTTTCCGCTCTGATCTCAATAGTTCTGTTGATTAGTTCATTTTCGACATGGACTGACGTTTAATTTTGAATTTGATAAGGTTAAAGTGTTTATGCAAGAGAATTACCTTGCAAACTGGATTCAGGTATGAATTTACTTGGTCTAAAGTTGTGAATTGATCTATGTGCTAGGGTTTTTGTAGGCTTAGTTTGTAATATATATTCGATTATATGTTTCAATCTAGGCATTGTTCAATTCTTTGCCACCTGGGGATTATAAGAATGCTCTGCTAGTATTAGGAGGCGATGGTCGGTATTTCAACAAAGAAGCTGCACAAGTAAGTTCTATTTTCTCATTTTATATGCTTTATAAACTGCATTGTGGCTTTTTCATTTTCTAAACAATGAATGGATTCTAAATGCAGTTGATTATTAAAATTGCTGCTGGGAATGGAGTTGGTAAAATATTGGTTGGCAAGTGAGTCTTTTGATACTTCAATCTTTTATTATATTATCACAATTCACAAGAGTTGAAAATTTTAACTGGAAAACTTTTACTTCCAACATTGGGAAGACTTTATTTCTTATATGTGTTAGAAGTATTAAGTTGGGAATCAGTAACTATTAAGTATTAACATATGTGTAATTGCATCTTTAAAATGTTTCAATTTATTACAGTTACAATGTAATCATTTTGTCATACCTTTGTATTTTTTCAATTATCATTGCTGGATCATGACCTTATAATCCTGTCATTGAAGGGAAGGTATTTTGTCAACACCTGCTGTATCTGCTATTATAAGGAGGAGAAAGGCAAGTGTCCATTCATATCTTCACCCTTAAAATGGGAACTCATTGAAGAACACCATCATAACATGCCATTTCATTTTGCAGGCAAATGGTGGTTTTATAATGAGTGCAAGCCATAATCCTGGTGGGCCTGAGTATGATTGGGGCATCAAGGTGAACATATAGTTCTTTACATCATGGGCTTCTGTAATTTTTCTCATCACTATCGAAATCCATGGTTTAATCCATATATCTTGTTTGAAGATGATAATTGGTGTTTAAATTTGTCACATAACTTTTACATTCTGACACTTATTGTTGTTTTCTCACAGTTCAATTACAGCAGTGGGCAGCCTGCTCCTGAGTCTATAACTGACATGATATATGGAAACACACTTTCTGTATGTTTTCTCTTCTCTTTATCTGTATCTTCATTTGTGCATACTATATAATTGCTCCTTGTTTATGATTTGTATATCTGAACACATTAGTATTGTTAGAATTGACATTCTTCTCAACATTAAATTTCTTAGGGTTGATGAGACTGATTGTCTTAACTGTTAATCTTGCTGCTTTTATGGCTTTGCTAGAAATAATACTTGGTTTTTTTGAAGAGTTTTCTAAGTACACAGGAGAATAGATAAAGTTGTAATCATATTGATCTTTACTCTATGTGTTCATAGTTTGTTGATATATTCAACTATAGGAACATGTCATAGATATTCTTAAATAGTGACAAAAAGGAGGAATCAACCTTATCAAAATCAGTAGCAAGTAGCAACTACCTTTACTATGAGAAAAGTACTAACTTTATATTGATAAAAAAGAGGAAACTGCAACTTTTTACTGGGCAACACAGTATGGAACTTTTTGCATTTCTCATTGGTGAGTATGGATGTAATTAATTATGAACTATAAGAACAATCATATTAGTTTAGAAGTGTGTTTTCACAAACATTTTTTCATCAATAAGAGCAAAATAGATTTTGGTCCCAAAAAGTTTTCTCTTCCAATTTTGGTCCTTATTTGAGGTTCTTGTAACGTTTTTGGTCCATGTTCCAAGATCCAAATAAAATGACTGATTCTTTTAGTTGGAGGAGGGACCAAAAACGTTACAAAAACCTCAAATAAGGACGAAAATTGCAAAAAGAGAAAACATTTTCAGACCAAAATAGAAAAATCAGCTATATTTAGGGACTAAAAATGTGGTTTTTGCCAGCCTGTAGTTTAAAATTGAGTAAATTACACGAATGGTCCCTATGGTTTAGGGTAATTTGCGCGTTTGGTCCCTAACTTATTTTTTTAACTCAGAAGGTCCCTACTGTTTGTTTTTGTTACGCTCTTGGTTTCTGTCTTACCTAAAAAGACTATTTTGCCATTGATTTTTTAAATTTATTTAAATAAACACACCCCAACCCCACCCCCTCACCTTACCTTACCTATCCCACCATTTCCCCCTATTTAAATAATAGTCTTTTTAGGTATGACAGGGACCAAACGCGTAACAAAAACAAACAGTAGGGACCAAGTGCGTAACAAAAACAAAAGTAGGGACTTTCCAAGTTAAAAAAATAAGTTAGGGACCAAACACGTAAATTACCCCAAACCATAGGGACCATTCGTGTAATCTACTCTTTAAAGTTCGTACATGATTTTAGACTATAAGTTTTTCATTTTTGGTTTTATATTCATTGACTTATTTATAGTCCCCCATTGCGATGATTTTTTTTTTAATTACGACAAATTAACTCTTGCTTTTTAACTTTTAACTATATTAGTCCCTCAAGAAATCGCTTCTCTTATATTTCTCCAACTACTTTTTTTTTTCTAAAAATTCCACAATTCCTGCAGATATCTGAAATAAAGTTGGCAGATATTCCGGATGTTGATCTTTCAATTGTTGGAGTTACAAAATTTGGCAACTTTAGTGTGGAAATAGTAGACCCTGTTTCTGATTATTTGGAACTAATGGAGGTAAAATAAAATAATAATAACAACAATGATAATAAATCTTTAATATATTAAATTTGGTAAATCATTTATTTGTCTTTTCAATGCAGGAAGTCTTCGATTTTTCACTGATCAAAAGTCTTGTTTCACGATCAGACTTCAGGTATAAACACACACACACACAGTGTTCATGAATCATGATTCATGATTACTAATTTATTAAGATAGTTTTTTTTTTTCTTTTTTTTTAATCAACTATTTATTCATATCTATAAACCTTGCTTTTGTCAGGTTGACATTTGATGCAATGCATGCAGTTACAGGTGCTTATGCAAAGCCAATTTTTGTAGATAAACTGGGAGCTACTTTGGTATGTTTATCATCAATCAATGTGTAATAAATAATAAAAGTCCATATGTTTTGGCCTCATAATTGATAAATACCTATTTTAAAAGTTTTTATGTACTTAATAAATACCTATTTTATAAAAGTTTTTAAGGTATATGTGTATATAGTAACGTATTTTACATAAGTGTATTTCACACATTTTCACATAACTATGCTTTTATAAATAGGTATTTAAAATAAAATAATATTTTTATAAAAAATATTTTAAAAAGAGGTGTTTATATAGGTATTTTACCTATAAAAACGTTTTTCTTTAAAAATTATATAGAAAAAAAAGGTTTTTATGTGAGAAATATGTTTATTTATTTATTTATTTTTGTATAAATATGATTCTATACAACAAACAAAACATATTCGAATTTTTTTGTGAAAAAAAATAAATTTAGGATGAAATCGTAACAAAGTTTTGAAATCTAAGCCAAAAGTGTAAATTTTGGACCAAATTTGTAATAAAATTTAAAATTTGGGCCAAAAATGTAATTTTTAAAATTGGGATGACCTGTTGACCGGGTAAAATGTTCAATTTGAATACAATTCTCGGTTTTTGGGACTTAATTGAATAAAAAAAAACATATAAGGACTAAATCGATTATGAGAACAAAACATAAGGACTTTTATGGAGTTTTCCCTATTTCTTGCATAGAATATAAGATAACTTGCTACTCAAGTAATTACTTTATGATGTTTTTTCAGGATTCAATTTGTAATGGAGTGCCTCTAGAAGATTTTGGGCATGGGCACCCTGATCCAAATCTAACGTACGAATTCACAGATTATAATCTGTTTTATTTATTTATTTATTTATTTTTTGAATTTTGAATATGAAGAATTGTTAAATGTCTTTATTTTTATAAAAGGTATGCGGAGGACTTGGTCAAGATTATGTATAGTGACAATGGACCTGATTTTGGAGCTGCAAGTGATGGTTGACAGATGATTTTTCTATTTTTTTTATTTTTTATTTTTTTAAAAAATTTTCCTTGTGGTTTTTGAAACGTTTAATCACAAAAATGACTAAAATGGGAGGTGTGAGTTAACAAAATGACAACGTTTTGAATATTTATCAGAAAATAACCACCCACTTTGAAAAATTCCTTTTTATGCTAAATTACTTTATAAATGTTCCCCACTACAAAAATCTTGACTTTTGTTTTTTTTCTTTTCCAAATGACATCACCATTTTGCAACATGATGTCAAATTGCAAAAAGAAAAACAAAAATGTAATTTTTTTTTTCGCAAAATTACTTAATGAATGGTTCCAACTACAGAAAAATATTAATTTCTATTTTTTGTTAACATCACTACGCAAAAAAGTAAAAAAAAAAAAATATCAAAGAAACGCATAATGCAAAAAAGGTAATTTCACAAAGTCAATTTATCATAAATGGGTGATATTTGTTCAAAAGGTCTCTCGTTTTTGGTTATTCTTTTGTGATTTATTTTTACCAACTTTTTAATATGATAAACCTTAAAATTTATTATTACCAATATTTTCTTCAAAAACTAAATCCTTAAAATTTATAAACCCAATGATTTTTCCAGGAGATGGTGATAGAAACATGATTCTTGGTAGACAGTTTTTCGTGACCCCTTCAGATTCCGTCGCTATTATTGCAGCCAATGCACAAGAATCCATTCCATATTTTCAAACTGGCCCAAAGGTTTAATTTTTTAATTTTATTTTTTTATAAAAAATTATTTAACTTTTTTATTTACATAAAAAACTGACTTAGGCTTTGTAATTTTTATAGGGTTTAGCACGCTCTATGCCAACAAGTGGTGCTCTTGATCGAGTGGCTGAGAAACTTAATCTCCCTTTCTTCGAGGTTATAAAATATAAATTATAATCTTTTTGTATTTTAAGCTCTTGAAAATATTTATTTTTTATAAAAGGTTGAAAAGTTTTGTTCCAGGTTCCAACTGGTTGGAAATTTTTTGGTAACTTAATGGATGCTGGAACTTTGTCAATTTGTGGGGAAGAAAGTTTTGGAACTGGATCTGATCACATACGTGAGAAAGATGGTATATGGTATGTAAATTGACCATTTTGCCCTTAGACTGAAGCTGAAAAAACACTACAATACCATAGGGAGTAGGGACCAAATTTTGTTTCCAGTCTTTGTCCAAGGGCAGAACGGTAATTTAAAAAAAAAATTAGCTAGGTAGTTAGATATAATGATCCAGGGACCAAAATTGTTATGAAACATCCAAATAAGGAGCAAAAGAAAAGAAAATCTAAACTCAGGGACCAAAGTTGTATATATTGTAAAGTTGTTTTGGTATGACTTCAGGGCTGTGTTAGCTTGGCTTTCTATAATAGCATACAGAAACAAAAGCAAGAAAGAAGGAGAAAAATTAGTCTCTGTTTCCGACATTGTAAAGGAACATTGGGCCACTTATGGAAGGAACTACTTCTCTAGATATGATTATGAAGTAATCACCTTTTAATTATAAATAAATAAATTCACTATTATTTAATTAGTTAAAATTATTTTTACTTTACTGATATTTTGATGTTCATTGGTGGGCCCAGGAATGCGAATCTGAAGGAGCCAATGAAATGATCAATCATCTTAGAGATTTGATTTCTAAAAGCAAACAAGGAGACAAGTATGGTGAGTTACAGTGTCAGTAACTCAGTATCAGCTCAATACTTTATAAAAAGTTTAGAGTAAATTACAAAAATGGTCCCTGTGCTTTCTGTTTTTTTACATTGAAATTAGGACCGAAGTCGCAGGACCAGAATTGACATAAAACCTTGAAATAAGGAGTAAAGTTGAAATTTTTTTTCGGTTTTGGACTAAAGATGGTGAAAATCAGAAAGTAAAGGGACCATCATTTGCAATTTACTAAATGAGTGAGTAAATTACAAAAATGGTCCCTGAGCTTTCTGTTTTTTTACATTGAAATCAGGACCAAAGTCCTGGACCAGAATTGACATAAAACCTTGAAATAAGGACTAAAGTTGAAAAAAAGTTTTGGTTTTGGACTAAAGATGGTGAAAATCAGAAAGTAAAGAGACCATCATTGCAATTTACTAAAAATGAGCGAGTAAATTACAAAGATGGTGAAAATCAGAAAGTAAAGGGACCATCATTGCAATTTACTAAAAATGAGTGAGTAAATTACAAAAATGGTCCCTGTGCTTTCTTTTTTTTACATTGAAATCTTGACCAAAGTCCCAGGACCAGAATTGACTTAAAACCTTGAAATAAGGAGTATATGGTGAAAATCAGAAAGTAAAGGGACCATCATTGCAATTTACGAAAAATGAGTGAGTAAATTACAAAAAATGGTCCCTGCTTTCTGATTTTTACTGTGTTAAGTCCAATTTCTATTCTGATTCTTATTTCAAGGTTTTATATTGAGTTTTGGTCCACCTTGATGTAAGGACAAAAGTCATAAGGACTAAAACTGAAAAAATTTCATTTTGGAACTAAACAGGCAAATATCAGGAAGTAGATGAACCTCTTTTGTAGTTTACTCAACAATTTATGGAAAAGAGCAAATTACATTTTTAATCCCGGAGTACAACTGATTTATTTATTTTCTCAAAAAGTTAATTCTTGCAAATTTGGTCCTTAATTGAAGTTAACAGTCTAGCTGTAGACCAAAACTGAAAAAACCATTATACCACAGGGAGCAAATCTGTAATTTATTTTTTCTTATTTTCTCATTTTGCGACGTAAATTTTTGAATTCATACTTTTATTTACTTCAACGCAATATTATAAATTAAAAAAAAAAAATGATTGCAGGAGATTATACTCTTGAACTTGCTGATGACTTCACTTATACAGACCCTGTAAGTTTTATTTATTAACTTTCTTAAATTTAATTAAAAATAAAAAGTTACTGAAAAGGTTTTGAAAGTTTACTAGGTAGATGGGAGTATAGCTTCAAAGCAAGGTATCCGATTTGTCTTCACAGATGGGTCAAGAATCATATTTCGTTTATCGGTACACATATTTATTTAATTTATTTTTAAATAAATTGATCGATAATTTCAATGGAATAAATATTATTTTTTTTATAAAAATTACAGGGAACCGGTTCAGCAGGTGCCACTGTGAGAATCTACATAGAACAGTTCGAACCTGATGTCTCAAAACATGACTTGGATGCCCAGGTGGCATTGAAACCATTGATAGGTTGGTTTTTGTGACTTAGGATTTTCGTTTTATTTATTAATATTAATATTAATTTATTTAGTTCAAAAAAAATATATTTTATTTTGTTGTCTTGTCAGATCTGGCATTGACTGTGTCAAAGCTAAAGGAGTTCACTGGAAGAGAAAAGCCTACAGTAATTACATAAGTTCTCTAGTGACTTTTTCAAAGTAAAAGATTAAACAGTTGTAGGTGTAAGGTGTTAGCTTCACATAATCACATTCATTCATCTAGTCACGTGCATGGCTGTTTCAATGTTTTTTTTTTAATCTAAATATGTCGAATTAATTATAAATCAATAATATAGTTTTTTTTTTTTTTTTTTTTTTTATTATTTATTTATTTTTTTTTGGAATTGGCAAATAATTCGAGTAATCAATTAAGGGTTTATTGTATTCTGTGATAGCACGTGTGCAATTACGTTGAGGCTCTCATTAAAGCCAGAAACAATCGAAAACAAAAGAATGGTTAAAATTGACAAATTGTAACATAATGAACTTATATTGAGCACTCCATATATTGATATGCCAATTTCGAGTTCTTCTTCACTCATCGATCTACATCGTGTTCTCCTAAATAAACAATAACCAATACATAAATGTATTAGTGACATATCTATGTATGGGATACTGTAAAATATCATGATCCAATCCACCAAAAATTGCATATATAAGGATTCTGGATACTTAAATGCAATCTCAGCAATAATATAAGCTCATCAATCTTTGTAAAAAAAGTTTTATGTGGTAAATTTAACAGTTATATATAAATGATTGAATGAAGCTTGAACCAACTCTTTGGTATCAAATAGAAGACAAATTTTCGGTGGCCCCAGAACGACACATCTTAAAAAAAATATAAAAAAACATATTTACAAGATAATGATAAAAGTTTTAATTTTTCTTTTAATTTAGATGAAATGCAAACAGGAAATTGACTTATTAAGATAATCAACTTTTCGGTTTATTCACATCTATTTTTTTTTTTTTTACACATTTGGTAATGAATTTTTTGGAAGCGTTCACATATGACTATTATGACCGGCTGTAACATGTTATATTCGGTCATAATGGTCATACGTGAACACTTTTAAGAAATTCGTTAACTTGATGTGTACAAAAAAAACAGTTATCCAGATGTGAACAAAACGAAAAGTTAAGAGTAAATTACACGAATGGTCCTTGTGGTTTGGGGTAATTTGCGTGTTTGGTCCCTAACTTATTTTTTTAACTCGGATGACCCCTACTGTTTATTTTTGTTGCGCGTTCGGTCCCTGTCTTACCCAAAAAGAATTTTGTAGCCTTATTAATTTATTTTTTAATTAATTTTCTTATTTATGTATTTATTTGTTAAATATTTAAAAAAATTAATATATCTCCTCATCTTAAACCTGAAACCACATTTGAGAAATTTAATCTGGATCCCATCGGTCACCATCCCATCTCTCATCCTCCTCAACTTCTATTTCATTTTCATCTTTAGTGACATCGACGTCTTCACCATCCCTTCTTTTTTCGGTCCTTCAATTTCGGCGAACCAACACCACAACCCAATGTCTCTTCATCGGATTTTACACCACCACAACCCAATACATCACAGTCCTTGCAGGAAAAGAAAATTGATACTAGAAAGAAAAATTGGAGAACCAGATCAATTGAAAACCATAACTTGAAATACAAATAAAAATCTAAAAGTCTATTAACATTCTAAGCTTTAACTCATCAAACAGTGTGTTTTTTTATATTATTAGTTTCCATTTCTAATACTTTTAATCTCTACTAAATTTAAAATTTTATATTTAACATCTTAAACAATAAAATTATAAAATTATATAAAGCGACGATTTGTTTTTGTCCATGTCAAATCTAGAGTTTTTTTTTTTTTTTTTTAGTTGCCAAAGTAGCATATTTTAAAAAGATATTTACCAAAATGGTGTGGTTTTAAAATATTTACCATTTAAGTTAAATTTTATATCAAATCAAAATTAGAAGGTAAAATAAAAAAAGAAAAGATATTGACTTATCATGATAATTAATTTTTCGGTTTGTTCACATCTAGGTAAATATTTTTTTTTGTACACATCTAGGTAACGAACTTTTTGGAAGTGTTCACATATGACCATTATTACCGGATGTAACCTGTTACAACCGGTCATAATGGTCATATATGAACACTTTCAAAAAGTTCGTTATGTAGATGTGTAAAAAAAAAACCCCAGATGTGAACAAACCGAAAAATTAATTACCTTAATAGGTCAATTTCCCAATACAAACTATAATGAATATTATGATTTTCTCTTAAATTGACTAAGGGGCTGTTTGTTTTTTTTATGAAGATCTGCGCAACCACTTTTGTCTGCGCCGCGCAGACAACGCGCATACATATGTCCTCGCAGACTGTTTGTTTTTTGGAAGTGCCCAGATCAAAAAACGTCTGCGCGAGGTCTTCCTGGCGCAGACATGGGTCAGTGTCTTCAAAGGTCTTCAGACCCCATTTTAACATAAATAAATTAAAAAAAAAAACATGGGCCACTATGCAGTTTTTTTTTCTTTCCTTTTTAGCTGAAAATGTATTTTTAATGTTTATGACATAAAATTAAGTTTGAAAAATCAATTTATTTCAACAGCCGCAGACGTTAAAAACAAACAGTCTTTATATTGCAGACTGCAGACATTTGGTCCACCTCTTCTGCCACAGAGGCTTGCAGATGTGGTCCGCAGACTGCAGACATTTTGGCTTCAAAAAAAAACAAACAGCACCTAACTAACCGAGAACGAGCGAAATACGCTAACATACTAACTTAACATCCCATAAGTCAATATATCTTGATTTGTTTGATATCTTTTTTCTATTAAATTAATCAACAATGAGGTATATACAAATATATCATAAAACTTAAGCTCACATAACTTGATTAAATGAGTGCCCTCTTTGAAATGGGCTCTTTTTCAACAAAGTAAACTAAATTAAAAAAAGGATAAATTGTGGAATCAATGTTTGAGAAAGATTATAATTTCCAAAAAGATTTTCCATCTTCACTAAAGATAAAATGAAAATATATAAAACCTGCCCAACAAAACCAAGCACATAAAATAGCATACCCAAAAGTTTACAATTTATCTCTTCCATCATTGAAAAATACAAATCTACAAAGAAAAAAAACATGAAATTAATGGTCGCAAATAATGAGTAAATTATTGCCACTCAGATTACAAATAATAAGTTGTAAGAAAATCTTATCGAGTTAAAAAAATCTTTAGAATGAATTTTACTTTGCATTAATGAAATACAAGTTCTAGTTATATTTTCAAGTTAACAATATCACCTCTCTAAACAGAGAACCAAACAACCAAACAATCAGTGATACATCCAAAAACATTCATACAGGTAAAAGATTCAAGGGCTTCAAATAACATAAAGTAAATCATACAGCATTGACGATGATTAAAACACAATAAAGTCAAAAACATATGGTTAACAATTTAAGAGCCTATTGAATAATATGGTTCCAAAAACCTGTGAGGCACCGATATGTCCATCAAATATAGCAAAAAAAATTTATACATTGAAGTATCAGTTATTGTTGTGCTTTTCATTTCATTGTTGGTGCCATGGTGCACATTATGTCGACCCTTATCTAAACGGCTAATATTAGAAAATCGTATGTTAGTTAAACACATAACCCAAAGCTTCTTTACAGAAATTCCCCACCCAAATTTTGCATAATTAGTTGCAAACTACTTAAAACCTCTAGAAGAACGACAAATAGAAAGCAAATGATTTGGTAATCCTAAATTAGAAGGTATAGTTTAGGAGAAGATGCCATGTGGCAAAGTAGAGGTGTAGTAAAGAGCCATGTGACATGTATAAGATTCATTTATTAGAAGAAATAGATAGATAGATTGTCCAAAATGATATACAAAAAAAGAAAGTAGGTTGTTATAAAAAAGACAGTGAGTACATTGCTATAAAAAATGAGAGTCAGAAAGTAAGTTGGTATAAAAAGCAAAAAAGTGAAAAGTAAGTTTTATTCCTAGCAACTTCATTTGTTATTAAGTTTATTTTTATTTATTACTGTTTACATAGTCATATAAAAGTATAAGTTGTTTTTGATTGACATTTTTGGTGATACTTTATAAGAGATGCAACATATTTTAAGATGGTTGAGCTTCCTAATAACTAGTAGTTGTAGGCATTAAATTAACATGATCATAATGAGGTCTCATAATTGTAATCGTGTACTTGGAATTTTTGTATTTAATAATATAAAACTAACAGTTTTTGCACCATAAAAGTTCCAAATCTCCAAGTTAATAGTTAATGGTATCGTTTTAGTTTGTTGCTATTTAATTAATATTATAATGGTAATATTTAATGTTATAGCATCTCGATCGAACAAGAAATCTTTCATGCACAAGTCTAAAGAAGCTAAGGTATAGAGATTGATAGGTTTAAGACGTTTTACGAGGATTTTGATTACAAACACAAGTCTAAAAAGGAGAATGTCACAAAGCTGGAAGAGTAGCGGGTGTAAAAATGATATGGTTTTTAATGGGTTGGTTTCCTTATAAAACTATAACAGGACTACTATTTTTTTAGTTAACAAAAAATAAAAACCGAACCATTGTTATTAAAAATGCTTCAATTTCATTGCTTAACTCAGTTTTAGTTTAGTTTGGTTTTTCAGTTATTATGTTCACCCTTAATGGCATTTCAAGTTTCGAAGCATTTTTTAGTGTTTTTTGTCAAATGGGCTCTAGATGGTGACGTGAATAGTGCTTTCTTTCATGGGCCGATTAGGAAGCATCAAAGAACACAGATGATTAACGGAATTAAAGAGAATGGTTTCTAGATAAACGATCCCGCCGCAATCAAAGAAGTGGTCATTAAGCATTTGGTGGAAGATTCGCTGAACCGGTTAAATCACGACCTAAGTTCATCACCCAAATTTTAAGAAACTTCCCTCCCACGCGGCCATGTATTTAGAAGAACCCTTCATGCTTGAAGAAATCAAATCATATGGGCATATTGCCCGGATAGGGCGCTAGGACCCGATGAATTCTCCTTTGCCCTTCTAAAACAACATTGGGAGGTGACAGGAAGTGATTTTTATTTTGCGGTTAAACATTTTGAGGCTACCGGGCATATTGAAAAGGGCTGCAACTCATTTTTTATCACCCTCGTTCCCAAAATCCAAGACCCCATCACAATCAATGACTTCCGTCCCATCAGTATAATTGGATGTTTGTACAAAACAATCTCAAAGGTTCTAGAAGAGTGTCTAAAGAAGGT